TAGTGGGCAGCCTTGATGAAGTCTCTTCGAAACCTCTACAGATTCTCTCATGACCCCAGCAAAGGACGTTGTAAATGTGTTATTAAGTAATCTTTCCGGGAGACCCAGGTCTCTCAGGCAGTTAAAGATACTGGCATGCGGAATATTGTGTCACATGCTTTCTCTACATCCAGGAAGCAGCAAAGTAGTCCACGGTTTTCTTTTCTGGCAATCTTGGCGCACCGCGTAATCACGAACAGGTTGTATTTCTGCCGCCTGCCCTATCAGAAGCCAATCTGTAGTTCAGAGAGGAAACTTTAAACTCCGCGCACCCGCAGGTGATAAAAGACCTGGTCTTTTATCACCTGCGTGAAGCCTCTTTATAGCATGCAGGTGCCTGACATTGGTCTGTAGTGACTTAGATGACCTGTCTTGCCTCATTTCTTGAGGATCGGCACTACTCTGCCGAGTCGCCATTCTATGGGTACAAAACCATCCAACATGTTGGTGAAAAAACTGGCCCACTGTTTTTACACTCCGAGCCTAGGCACTTAGTTAGGGTAGCTAATACGCCATCCGGTCCTGTGGCTGTGTGCGTCCGAAGACAGCAGGTTGCCCGTTCCACACTCCTGTATGAGAAAGCCGAGTTTGTCTCTGAGAGGTGTGGAGTGGTCGGCACACTCAGAGTCTTAGTTGTACGACTGTCCTTTGCGCTTGCTGGACTACGCAGGGCCTCTGAATATGTCATCACATGCCTTTTAAGGTCTACAACCTGTTGTCCTGTTTCACTGCCCATCATTGGAGCTCCGGCTGCTCTTTTCTATCAAGCGATTGGACATAGTTCCAGAATATTGCAACCATTGAGTTTCCCTCCTCTCGGAGGTCCTGTAACATCTGTTCATTGGCATTGACTAGCTTCATTTGAACAGGGCCTGCATTCCGAGATTCAGCTTGACGTAGTGTTGCATTTTGTCATTACATACCTTGGGCTCTTTTGCCTTGACCGCACGGTGGTGGGCACGGTTTGCCTGTCGGCGTGCCTTCCACGTCTGAGTGACTTCGTTGTCCTACCACTGTTTGCGCGCGTGGCGCACGGGGTTCGTGTTGCGGAACATGTGCCATGGCACAGTGCTGAGCCATATGTCGATGTATTCTTCGTACGTTTTTGTCTCTCGTCGCCGTTCACTGTCCTCAAATGCTGCAGCCGCCGCTTTTATACTTTTAGCCGGAAGGTGCATTTGACCATCGAATGTGATGCGGCGCTTCGTTTTGAGGTGTTGTGTGCGAGAGAAATCAATTCGAATACGATTATAATTGATTCCAATGGAATAACCTCCTACTTCATCTATACCGATGGATTCGAGGAGACGAGTTAGGCTTTGAGATAAGAGGACACAGTCAATAGATGTTGCACTGTCTCGCGCACACCATGTGTGTTTTCTCTCACATCTGGAATCAAGATTTTCAATATCCAGTTGTAGTCGTTCCGTCAACAGCATCAAAAGGCTCCCATTTGCGTCCGTGTAACCACTCAGTTCAGATATATGGCCGTTAAAATTTTCAAGGACCAAAACTTCCCGGCTGTTGGTCATGCACTTTGAGTCCTCGTACACACACTCTATCAGCGCCTCGTTGGCCCCGAGCCATCTCTTTGTGAATACCCGCCAGGGCTGCATTTGTCATTATTGATAGCATCACTCACTCCAGCATGTAGAGTGACTAATCTTCCGGCCCACCATATACGCCTTTAGGGCCAGTGCTATCTAGTGAGCATTTCGAAAATCACTAGAGAAGTGGACGAGCCATCGACACTGCCGGACAAACAAGTCTTTGAAAAGAGAGTTTGTAGGTCGAAGCGTCACCCCGCTAGATGCTCTGCGTGCTTTGTACGGGACACTGAATGACGATGCCTCATCTCGTACTCGTCTCACAGAGTCAAGACTTCTACCAGGAGCAGTTGGCACAGGCAATCTCCAATGCAACTCTGGATGAGGCAAAAAAGGGGTGGGTTGAGATTTTCGTGCACGCCCGGGCCACGATAATTGCAGGACAGAGTAGTGTACCTGTCTACAGCTGTGGCCCCGCTACGGTGGTATAGTGGCTGAAGTACTCGGCTGCTGACGAGAAGTTTGTGGGATGGAATCCCGGCTGCAGTGGCTGCATTTCCAATGGAGGCGGAAATGGTGTAGGGCCATGTGCTCAGATTTGGGTGCACGTTAAAGAACCCCAGGTAGTCAAAGAACCCCAGGTAGCCCTCCACTGCGGCGTCTCTCATGATTAAATGTTGATTTTGGATGTTAAACCCCACAAATCAATCAATCAATCAATCTGCAGCAGCTATTAGGTTGGCTACTTGGACCTACTCAGCCGCTTTGCAAGAGCGATAATATGAAATAATTTCGCTGAAGAGCAGCGGTGGTGTTTAGGGCTCCGTGTCAAGAGCTGGGGTGAGAGCCCGGAGGCTAAGCACTCTGGCGGCCACGACAGCAGCCTCATATCCTCATAAGCCCTGCTAGTCAGGGGCACGAATGATATTTTCATGGTACGAAGGGCGGAAGTCCGTCTTATAATTTGGCTGGCTAAGGAGGATCTCTCCTCGCCCCGCCGCGGTGGTCTAGTGGCTAAGGTACTCGGCTGCTGACCCGCAGGTCGCGGGTTGAAATCCCAGATGTGGCGGCTGCATTTCCGATGGATACAGAAATGTTGTAGGCCCGTGTGCTCAGATTTGGGTGCATTTTAAAGAACCCCAGGTGGTCTAAATTTCCGGAGCCCTCCGCTACGGTGTCTCTCATATTCATATGGTGGTTTTGGGACGTTAAACCCCACATATCAAACAATGAGGATCTCTCCTCTGCTGAGTAAAGGGCACATGCTTCTCCGGAGTCCATAATTATGATAAGCTTTTCGAAGCATGACCCTTTCAGACTTGCACCGACGACCCTTGCGGGGCTCACCGCACAAACAACAGGATCGGGCTGCAGTGTCTCCGCTCTGCAGTCCCTGCAGCGGCAAGGTGCCGTGCGCGCCCTTCCGTATTATGGCATAGTGGCTGGAGTAAAGCACCGATTGTTCATTTGTTCGTGTGACTAAGCCCCTGCCGTGGGTCAGGCCAGAAATTCAGTCAGCGGAGCTGCTGGCTCCACAACTGCCGGGGCACATTATCGCGTCTTGTTGAACAAATGGCCGCCCGTGGCATTTAAAGAAGAAGAGGTAGCGACAACTAAGAATTGCGTGGAAGACGGTGGATTATACGCGTTGAAGAACGATCTGGACGTCTAGTCTTTAGGTTTCGAGAAAACTGGGGCGATGGAGATGGCTAGAAGCTCTTCTGCACAGTTCTCAAAGCAATGCACATTGGTCATTAGCAAACGGTTCGCTTTGTCGGAGCATGACACTCCTAACCACCGATATTCTACGCGTCTTGAAGGAGCTGGCCCGTTGCCCTCTCCCAATTTTGTGTTTGTTTATTTGTTGCTGCACTTATCTAGGAGCGAGGTTTTCCCACTGCTGTGGACTGAAAAGGTGGATGTCCGATCCCGGCAGCGGCAGCTGCATTTCCGATGGCGGCGGAAATGTTGTAGGCCCGTGTGCTCAGATTTGGGTGCACATTAAAGAACCCCAGGTGGTCGAAATTTCTGGAACCCTCCACTACGGCGTCTCTCATAATCATATGGTGGTTTTGGGACGTTAAACCTCACATATCAATCAATCAAAGGTGGCTGTCAGGCTGACAGGTTCACTGACAAGAAAAGATGTGTCAACAGTCACGATTGCCACAAAGGGGTGAAATCGAGACCAGTAAAAAGCGACCATTGGACCACGACCACGAAGGCGGCATGAGGAATGAAAAATTGATGTGAGAGACAATGAGATGACTGAGACATATGATGGACGAGAAGGTGACGAGGCGCCGAAGTTTTGGAAGGTGATGGCATAATTTTTGCTTTCAAAGACGATATTCTTGTTTGGGTACTTTTTCTTTGGTATTCTACTCAAGTCAGCCTGGCTTGTCTATTTGCAGACTGGGTCAGCCTGGCTGGTCAATTTTCAGATATTTACTAGGGTGCTGGGAGAGTAAAAAAATGTGCGATGACGACCGCTATCGCAAATCTGTTTTGTGTCTAGCTGGCGCTAGCTATAAGGGAAATGTGAAAGGATTTAATTTGCGAAATGGTTGTCTTTACTTTGCCATTTCCAAGCAAGATACTTTTGTCTGCTTTTTACTACACGGTACGTAGGGTTTTTCTCAACGATGAAATCCACCTGTGTCACTCCTTCTTTGACTGCGTATAGTTCTATCACTTGCGAACAAGTCAACGCTCCGTATTCATTTGTACGTTCTCACTCGATTTGCTTAGGCTAACTCCTGCAGATGGGTTGTCATTTCTGCAAATTCAAGGGTGTAAGCCCTATATATATTCAACGGTTGAGGGGGCACCTCATTAGATTCTGCAGCTGGGGAAGGTCTTCTTGGAATGGCCATTTTTTAATCTCTCTGTCTTGGTGAATATATATATATATATATATATATATATATATATATATATATATTATATATATATATATATATATATATATATATATATATATATATTTGCATGGGCTCTCTGTAGACGGCGTGGTCAAGTATGCGATCACTCGAGTGATTCGTGATTCGCAAAAACGGTACTACTGTTATTACCGAATCGCAGAGGCGTCAACAAGTGGTCGCAAATCGCGACCGGTAACTGTTGTCCCGAATAATCGATGGTCTTTAGCGCCAGTCTAACGCAGCACCAATTCACCACCAACCACAATGATCACTAAACAATTTCGCTGATTACTTAAGCAACTTTAAAGGAATCTTCAATACGTCACAAAGTTGACGATAACGAGAAATGACGGTGAGTAAGCATCACAAAAAGAATCAAGTGGATACATGAGTCATTCTTGCTGGTTCCATATGTAGGCAGACAACCATTACATGGTAATGTTGTTTTGTTATTTTCCTGCTGCATATTCAGCATTTTTTTTCTTTGCAGGTGTGGGGCTGTGTGGGCTCCACCACCATGTAAAGTAATACCTATGGGACCAGGTATATACCCGAAATGTTGTCCGAAGCCATCATGTCCTAACAAGGATATTGTATAAACTAGGCGCTTATGAATAAAAAAATTATTGAAATATTGTCACTTTTCTTAAGTGTTATGTGTGTTAACTTGCCGGTGTAGGTGTAATTTCAACATTGCCTTTTAAAGGCACTTTTAGTTTTTTCTCGTTTTGGATTCTGACGGTTGGTTCGTTTATTGCTTCCAGAAATAGAGCCCAACGTAAAAGGTGTGAATACAAATCGGGGGGCATAATCGACCATTTTATATTCCGCATGCAAACGTCATTCCCGGGAACATTTTGATAAATGTGCTCTATTTACCTAAAGTAGTGGTCTCCAATTCGTTTCAGCCAGCGTACATCAACAAAGCAATTTATACCCGTTAGGGACTAGGCCGGGAAGAAGGTACGAGTGGTGATGGAGGGGAAAGAGATAGAATAAACACAGCTTCAGCATACGCTACAATTTGAAAAAAAAAGCCTCTCCTATATCTGATATAAGGGTTATTTCTCAGCGTGACAACAATACACCGATGGTGATCTTCGAAATAATTATATGTATACGGCGAATTTAAAATATAGCCTTTGTTTCATGATTACATTTCAAGACATGTGACTGCATGAACTGTACCACAAAAACAACGCTTAAGACCAGTCGTCTCTGTGTAGACGATGTTACGTCTCTACAGGCACTGGCTGTAGAAATTTTTTTAGGTACACGAAACATGAACACGTTAACAAGTGTAGCTCTGGTGTTCGAGTCACTATGAGCCAGCGTTCGACCAAAAGCTTGCGCTCGTGCCACAGCGCCCGTGTAGTCGCGTGTGTCTTTCGTTGTTTCCCTTTTCTAAAGCGCTATCTTAGTCCACAACATACGTATTGTTACATGTCGATGTGTATGAGTCATCTGCTGTGGCATGGGCTAGCTTCTAAGCTAGTCCATGCCACAGTATAAGGGGAGGAAGAAGGAAATGTTGCTTTTTCGTTGCATTCTGTTCTGGTTCTCGGAAAGGCTCCTAAAACGAAAAAAAACGTGTCTAATCCAGTTTCAGTTCCTGAAGAGGGTATCCTGGAAATAGTTGTGTCTGAACTAATTCGCTTATCACCGTCAATACTTTTAATGTTGTCCAGTGTAATCGTCGTTTTCTGTTTTTGTCCTCTGCTTATTTACTTCGCTGTGTTATTCACTTAAATCCTGGCATAATGACAATACAAATAATAAATATTGCCCGAAAATTTCGGTTAGATTGCCCTTCTTTAGGAGGTGGTGTATTGATAATTATTTCGAGCAAATTTTGCCCCACAGTAAACCTGGATTTTCAGTTAATGTCTCCGGAGTGGGAAATTTTGGCAATAGACCTCATCATGCCAGGATGCTGCCCTTTTTGTAATATAAACGCATATTTTTCCTCGGGCGTGCACAATACGCAACGGATAGTGTGTGGCAGTTTGGGCTAGTTGGTGTGACATGACGTTAATTATAGCGCGAGAACAGAACGACGACAAAAGGACAAGAAGGAGATGAGCGCTAGTCTCCTTCTTCTCCCTTTGTCTTCATTCTGTTTTCGCATTATAACTATAGATGGTCTGCGTTTTGTTTAGCTGCAAAAATGAAATAATTCTTACCAATGACTTCCGTTGCGATCACGTTTCTAGGGATTTTCGAACGAACTCTTTTGGTTCTTCACTGTGCGACTGCATTACGCACAAAAAAATTTACCTGCCTAAATGTGAAGCAGCCTACGTTTGTTCGCAGTCAAGCACTATCTGTGTTAGACCTGACGTCTTGTAGTGTAAGTGTTCTGCTGAAGCTCTAGAGAACAAATGAGTTCACTTCAATCCGTGACCACATTGTTGTGTAGTTTGAATTAGTAGGTCCAAGAAGATTGTTTGAAAAAAACTGGGAACTTTGATTATTTGTGAAAAGTTTAAAGACTGCTTGCGCTCTAACAATGAGGTAGCATGCAGTAGTAAATATGAAGACCTCGGTAAAAGTGTTCTCTCAGTTTCAAGATTATGAACAAACACTTCGAAGTTTCTAATTGCGCCGGTGTAAATAACAGTTCTCCGCCTAGTCGGTGGTAGAATACTGAGTGTACGCAGGACTGCAGAAGGAGAAAAGCCACATTGAAAAAACCCATACAAAATCGGAATCCACAAAATTGGAAAAATTATAAATTTCTTGCGGCAACAAAAAACTTACTATGTTTCGCGCGAAAGGGGATTGTGATAATAATCACTTCGGATACCTATGTAAATAAAGAAACTGTCGAGTAGTATGCAGTTTCCTCTGATGTACAAAGACAATTCCAATATCAGGAAATGTGTACTCAATAGTTTATAACTTACAAGAAATACAGGAATCATTAACTCAATTAGCTGAAGGACTAAAAAGTAGAACTAATAATTGGCTTCAAAATTATGCTTCTACACATGCTAATCTTAAGTAAACAGCAGTATTGACTTTCGAATTAGATCAGGCTATGTTCAGGTTGGAAATCGCATCCACAGGGTCTCATGGTATTACAAACGCCATTCTAAACATAATAGATTAGGAATTCCCCAATGATCTGTTGGGTCAAACAAGTAGGCATGGATAGCTATTTAATTAAAGATTGCTGAAATTATACCGCGGCCTGAAAAGCATGGGGCTGGCTTTATTATCGATATATAAGACAAATAGCACTGACATCAGATGTAGTGTAACTTATAGAAAGGGTCTTTCGTGGTTATATATCGTTTATTAATGATCAACAGCTGTTGAGCCCCAGGCAAATTTTCTTTAGATCGGTACATTCTTCTCGGTACATTCGGTATTGATCCGTACATTCTTTAGATCGGTGCCACCATTCTATAGGCTGGCTCACCAACCTCAGAAGTTCTTCAGGTCTTCTAGCATGGTGGAGTCTCGGCTGCAACAGTTTGACGTTATAACTCTTCACAGGTCAGGACAGAAACACACCGTCACTGACTGTGTCTCACGTGTGCCGATTGGAAGAGACGTGAATACAATACATTCCTTTCCTCTGTATCAGCAACCGACTTGGCTCAACAACAACGTGATGACTTGGAGCTAGGCCCACACATTGTCTACCTGGAAGGCCACAAATACCGTCTTCTCTGAAACTTCACATCATTGTTGGCCTCCTTTTGCATCATGGACGGAGTCTTATATAATAAAAACTTTGACCATACGCAAGCTACTTACCTACTGGTGTCGCCAACCTCGCTTCGTAACAATATTTTACATGCTTGCAATGACGAACCATCATCCGAACACTTAGGAAGAATTTACCGCTCCTGTTACTAGCGACGTCTTGCGAAGACAATCAAGCAATATGACTGCACATGTCACGACTGCCAACGCCGTAAGACTCCACATGTCCGACAAGCGGGACTACTTCAGCCTATGTCACACCGAAAGCATGAATGCATGAAATAGGCATGGACTTGCTCAGATCATTTCCTCTGCCTTCGTGTATAAATCAGTGGATTGTGGTCCCCACTAATTATTTAACGCGTTACAGCGACACAAAGTCCCTGCCCAAAGCTACCGGAGGCAAAACTGGCCAGTATTTTGTCATCAGTATTGTCCTTCGTCACGGGCGCCAGCAGTGATAATTACTCATTGTGGGAGGTCATACCAGAAGTATATTTCCTATATTTCCTACAGAAGTTTTAAATATTTACTATATATTTCCTATAGAAGTTTTCCTACTTCCTACAGAACTTTTCCTATATTTTGTACGACTAAGTAGTGGAAAATATAGGAAAACCACAAGTTATTGTCCCCCAAACAAACGGACTCACTGAACGACTGAATAAGACCATTGACTCATGCTGTCAAAGTGTGTGGCCGTTGACCACAAGAACAGCAATGATATTCTTACCTTCGTAATTTTTGCTTACAATACGGCAGCCCAAGAAAGCACAGGTTTCACCCCTTTTCACTTATGGCGAGTTCAACTCGTCGACCGGGAGCAAGTTTTCTTGCTCCGTGGCCGAGAATCGGCATTCCACTGATATATTCGCAGCAAGTTTACGTTTTCCACTGATCGAGTCGGAGCAACCGACTCCGCGACGGAGCGGACCGCGAGCTCCGTGTTACAGAGACGGATTTCGCCGCAACTCTGAGTATGTGTTGCCGTCATTTACGGCACATGCGGGCTGCTGGGCTGTCTTCGCCGTTTTTTTTTTTTTTTTTTTGAGGCAATGTCTAGTCACCCTGTGTACTTGTTTACATTTAAAACTGGCGTCGTCTGACTCAGCTGGACGTGTTGCTGCTGGTTTGCTTCTCGATTTGAGTGACAGTGAGAACACTAGTTTTTCTAGCAGTAGCAGCAGCGAGAACGACGATCCGTACGTGCTGTACGAAATGATGTATATGCAAATGTTCACTATCCCGCCGTGTACGTGGCCGAAGATAGTCGGCTACGTCGAAGAAGTTGTGCACGCGTACTCAGAAGAGCAGGTATGTATACTTCTGAGCGGTTCATAACTTTTTTTTTTGCGTCATGATTACTGTGCATTTTCAAACGGCCCCATATTTGTTTATATATTTTCGCAGGAACTTCAGAGTCTCAAGGGTTGTTGCTGACGACCTGTACAACGACTTCTGTGCTTCGCCGATGTATCCTCGCTGTAACAATGGGGAGGGGTCACCAGCTAAAACATCCGAGGAGCACATCCTAGTGTTCTTGTAGTGAGCTTCAGAATGCACTTTTACTAGCTGAATTCACGCTAATAACTTCAGTATGGTCATGAAAGTGATTTCTGCTCCCCCCGACGTCTGTATTTGTTAAGCTGAAAGTTTACTTAGGTGTTGTTTTCAGGTATGCTGCAGATAAAGCCTGCGTCCGAGATCTCACCGGTCGCTTCGGGTTTGGAGAAACAACCGCTTTCGCAGTCATTGAGCGTGTGATTGACTACCTTGTGGAGTTAGCCAAGACGGCGGTAGCCTTCCCTGATGAATTGCAGGGCCTGTCCACAAACTTCGAGCATGTATGAAACGGCGTGGAAATGAACGTGCGAAGTTTCTATACATAGTAGCGGTTGTTTCTCGGCTAAGCCAAAAGGGGGGAGAACG